TTACTTAATCAAATGAAGGAGAGAGAGGGAGAGAGAACAAAGATATCCAGTTACCAGGGCAAGGAAAAAAACTGACTAATGTCTACTTCTTTCGAACACATAAATCGGGTTTCAAACGTTTGGTAGCGATTGCTTCGGCAAACTTGAGGAGAAGTGAGCTATTTTTTCTGTTGGTAAATTTGAAGGATTTTACAAAGTTCACCTTATAACCCGTATCAAAGAGATGCCTGGTAATGGCACTATCGGGAGAACAGAAATAAGGGCATACATCTAATTTTCTCAACATGTACCAAAAAGCCTACATTTCAAGGGACCAGACGCTTACAACAGTGTCATTGACAGGCATCTCTTTGATACAGATAGTGATGTAACGACAGAAGGCAAGAGTCAGGCAACAGATCATTTATTAAGGAAAATCAACATATATTTATAGATTTTAATGTACATTATTGTTAGTAGAAAATAGTCTTCTGACTGGTTGTTTCTCACAGAAAGTTAAGCTTGCATTTCTTTGTGGCTGTCAGATTATCTATCCGCCTACGCAAATTCCGCTGTCCATCTTTGACCTTGTTTTCACATGACTAATATTTGAGACATGAACATTGACGTCATTTACTGTCTACCAATTTGGCTAACAGCCATCTCTCACCACAGTGAGGTGTGGGCATCACAGAATCCTACAAAATTATCAATAGACAAAATAGCTCAATTCTCGTCAAGTTCGCTGGAAGAATTCTCTATCAAACACTTGAAACCCGATTAATGTGTTTGGAAAGAAGTAAACATTAGTCAGTTTTTTCTTGTCCTGGTAGCTGGATATTTGTAGAGGAGTAGTTGGTGAGAAACCAACGAAACAAACAATTGGTTGGAGGATTTCATCATGAACTGACATCGGTTAGAGAACCATTGAAAAACAAGCTGTTCATATCGTCCGCTTAATATGGGACTCTTCCTCAGTACGCACGCACGGGAGTTCGAACCCAGGCCCTTCTGATTACAATGGTGGTATCAATTTTATTCTCCACAAACCACCGTTGTTCTGGCTTTATTCCAATTCATTAAAGGGGAATAAATGTATGAATTTTTCAGTATTATCAATTGCATCTCTGAATACCTGAATTAAAAACACATTTTTAAATTTCCCTACTTTTTTTTCACACACTATGTATTTTACCCTTATTACAACCGATCCATGTAATAGTAGCAATAATAATAATAATGGTGTGTTGCTAATGTCCTTTTTAGATTACGATAGTTTGTTGTACTTGTGGCAAAACTGATCAATAAGGTTTTTCGTGTTCTGTTTTGATTTATTTTCTAATTTTCACACACATGGTATATAACCTAAGGGTTTTTTTTGCATTCCAATCGATATTATTATGTCGATCACAAATATGCAATCTACATACATGTGACAATTTTGTCGCCGTCGGGTCTTTTCTGCAAGAATCATGATAAAGAATGACTACGTCACCATTGTTATCATGAGTGTTTAATCTAAAGTTGACGATAGTTTCATGGGTATTAACATATCAGTCTTTCTTCTATGATCACGTTTTTGTATTATTATTATTATTAATCATTACTATTATTCTCTTGGATTCCGAGTGGAATATAGCACTTCAGCAACACATCTCCACTTTGTTCTACTTGGTGCTGTCCTCTTCAGCTGGGTCCACGATCGCCCATAATCTCTCATCGCCTCTATATCACCCTTGCACCGACCACCCACTCGTCACTTCCCATTAAGATTCCACTCGACGCTACGCCTGGTACGTGATGTCATACGACGGCTTCCTCAGTGTGTGCCTGATCCTTTTCCATTTTTTCCTTCATATTTGTTAGAGATAAGTTCCCAGTAAGTTAGTTAGTTCCCATAGTTTTTTGTTGCTAGTTTTTTTCGGGCCAGATATCTCGTCGTCAGAATGGAGCTTCTGGAGACGACTTTTGATCTGGAAATGATTTTGGTGACACGGGATCCAAGTTTATGGCCTATTTAGAAGAACTAACATTCGTGGTGCTGAAAATCCGAATCTTGTTCTCTTTGCTGACTGAGTGAAGCAGAAGATTTTCAAACTGGTTTCAGATTGATGAAGATTTATCTTGCCTTTCTGATTCCGGCTGACTGGCTGACTTTGACATCTTCATCCGTGCTGTGAACATGTGGTTCAAAATGTGATGCCTAGATAAATGAAGGAAGTATCCCCTGTCAAATCTCTCTCATTGATGGTGATTGGTGTTGGTTGTTGTTTCTGTTTATCGGTTGGTTATCTTCCTCACCACCGTCTTGTCTATGGTCACCTGAAGTCCTGTCTCCGCCTGCAAGTATTCAAGTGTTTTTGACATTAGACATAAATCATCCGCCTCGAAATTAAGATCTTCTATAGTCTTCCTATTGGTCAGTCCAATATATTCCTGCCTTTTCGCTCTCAACACACAATCTGACGCATGATCCAGTCCACCACAGTTAGGGATATCACTGGTGATAATAGGTGTAGCCCTGTCTTACTCTTGTATTCACTTCGAAGACTTCTCTGCCTTTTTTGTTGTGAAACACCTGACATGCGGCATTGTCATATAGCCAGCTGTTTAATGAGGTTGATAAAGACTTTGGCACTGCACGCCGTAGTGTTGAAGCATTTTCCAAATTACTTCTCGGTCAACGCTGTCTGGTGAAGGCCTTTTTAAAGTCGATGAAGTTGAGGTAGAGAGAGGTTTGACTGCCATTCTATGCTATGTTCGATGATGATGATGCATAGAGTTGCTGTTTGACAATTTTGGTTGTTCATATCCATTCCATATGCTCTTGCAGATTCCGAAGTAAGTGGAGTGTAATTCGAATGTATTCGCGGCAAATCTAATGTTTAAACTACCAAGTCATGTCCCCGTTATAGATTTTATGGGAGTCGAACTTGGGATCTGATAGGTAAAAATTGCTTGCTTGCATCAATAAATCACCTTTCCGTTTCAATGGCTAATTGAACTTGCTTATAATATTCTATATGAAATATTCTCATAGTAAAATTTAGAACAACACCACATTTCAGCGAACAATATTGTGTTTTCAATTAGATCTCATCAGGCTTAATTCTAATATGCTTACATAACTATACAAGTAAATATTAAAATATTTATAAACCAATCACCTCTGTTTATTAAGTTACAATTTAATGGTGACTTGTCTGTCAAGTGAGATTTTATTCCAGAGACTTTCCAGGAGTGTATACGAGGAACGTTTTACTCAGCAAACCTATGTTTATCATTCTCTAGCCGATAAATGATTGGGAAGCAAACGAAGGATTAGCTACATAGTTTTGCCCCACACCTATGTGCATTTATCAATTCGACTGAAACTGTGGTGACAGTTATGTTGGGCGTACTACTAGACAGGTCAGCCAGCGTGTTGTTACTGAACATCTCCCGTCGTAGTTTAGCAAAGAACAGACAAAAACAATCCGTAGCTCAATTTTGTCACATTTAATTGATAGTGATCATGTAGTGGAGAGAACGAGAACTTTCAAAGTAATTCATCGTATCCCACCGAATCTTTTCAATAGACTTCATATTCGTCCACTGCACACAGCTGAGGCGATAGGCATTCCAACTCTTAAGCCTAGACGATATATTCAAAAGAATTTCGTACAGCCATTATCCTTCCCCTGTTGGCCTATTAAGACATAACCAACTGATAACTTCTGCACCACCCCTTACTTATATTTTCGACTCCTCTCATATCATCCTTTAATTTTATCACATCTTCATTAAAACATTGTTTATTTCCTTCCCTTACAATCTAGCATTACTTAATCAGTCCATTTGTTTTTCTTAGCCTTTATCGACTACTTACTTCTACCTGAACATCTTATTTGTTTAATCACGCTGTTTTTTTGGTTATTCTTGTTATCACAGACTGCCTCACTTTTTCATCCTTATTATTGATGAGACTATTATTATTATTACAACTATTATGACTAATTGCACAATTTATATTCACCATCTTATTATCCTATAGACAAAACACGATGATTGGTTTATATTTAAATCTTTATTTGTAAAGTTATGTGGGTATATTAGTGTTAAGCCTGATGAGATCTAATTGAAAACACAATATTGTTCACTTAAGGGTGTTGTTGTTCTACATATTCTATATGGATGCTATACTATACTATATTCCATATGGATGATTGTGAGGTCAACTACATAGATGAAACCAATAGATCAGGGGTAGTCAGACTGTCGGAACATAAGAATTCAGCTAAGGTTAGAATGGTTGACCCCAAGAAGACAGATGAGTAATTTAGAAAAAAAGTCAGAAATTGTACTACATGCATTAACACACAACCACACAATAGGCTGGCAGAGGGTTAAAATTCTAGAAAGTAATATTTTTAATTAATTTTTTGATTATAGCTTGATCCCACACCGTATTTTTGGTACAAGTATGAAATTTTCCGCATGTGATATCGTTAGCTCAAATTTTGCAGGCCTACCATTGATATCAGGTATGCGTCGGCAGGGAATCGAACCCCAGACCATGTGCATGGTAGGCGAGAGTCCTGACCACTGTGCCACTGATGCACAATATAGGTGGAGATAGAGAGAGGTTGACTACTGAATCGTTGTTCATCGAGTCTACAAACCCAACACCTGCAATGGGAATAACTCATCACTCATACCAGAGATATGGAAAATGTGACTACCAATCAAATTAATCGATGAAAAATAATGGATTTATATAAACGAAATTAGAAAGTAATGTGAGTAGTGCCTTGATATGATTATGAACAGCAATGAATTGTGTTCGAAAGGTGGTCATCAGTAAATATTACTGTACAGCACACTGTGAAACTTTATCAAAATAAATTTTACGCATAATTGAATTATACTCTACCACAGTGCACAAGTTTTATTCTTATATCAATGATTCTTTATATGAATAATCAATTTCGTGTTTTATTTTTAATTTTGCTCTTCTTTTTTGTTCTTTTTGTTCGTTACAGACAGTTATTTTATCTTTATTATATCGTGTTATGCGACCGAAGCATGTGATTATATTCGGTTTAATCTTTGAAGCAATTCAATTAACACTGTATGGTTTTGCTACAAATCCCGTATTATTATGGTTAGCTGGTTTAATCGCTGCTATGGGTTCAATCACTTACCCCGCATTAAGTGCATTCATATCAAATCATACAGCAGCTGACCAGCAAGGTGTTGGACAGGTAAGTCATGCGTCTTTGACTTCTTCTTCCTTATTTGTGTGTATATGTGTGTGGGGGGGTTGAAGTTGTGAGTACGTGACTATATCTCAGTATAATATTTGAGGTGTGGCAACTAAAATCGATGAGGTTGATGTGAAGCTGCATCGCGATTAAGGTGACCAGGACGTGTGTTATGATGGGCATCAGTAAAGAATAGACACCAGAGTCAAATAACCGTGAACCTCCATGTTTCACTTGGAACCTAAGGGAACAGTAATACAGTACAGCTGCTGAGCCCTGTGATCGTGTGTTGAAACCAATAAGGCATAGTGCTTGATATTAAATCTGTTCACAATAAAACGACGGACTCTACTATTTAATTATTCGATACATCCAGGGTTCTTTTTGTGTGTTTGTGTGTGTTTGGTCCACAGGAGGAAATTATGTCTGTTATGTATGTACTCATAATAAAAGGTTAGGATGAATGTGTTCGCTTCTCCTGAAAACCACTGTAGATTTACTCAATCCATATCTGGTGGTATAGAGATGTGGCACACACTGGCTTAAGTCCTCAACTTTCAGCCTAAAGGTTCCAGGTTCAAATCCCTCTTCACCTGCTTTATTTTGTGCTTTCACACAACATATCAGTGTTGCTCATGGCCATGATACATGAAGAATCTATTGCTCTGATATCTGAGTTGGTATATAACATTATATGCGAATTATATTTGATCAGAATATTGAAAAGAAGAACAATAGGTTGTACTGTGCTTTGCCTGTTCCTTATTTTAATCAAATCAATAAATCGGTGAATCAATTATTTCTTTTTCTTATGTTTGCTTTCTCACACTTGGTGAATGTCCTCTTTGTCGGTGTCGATTGATTTTTTCCGACTGTGTAAGTGTGCGTGCATGTTTGTGCTTCTGTTCTCTTCCTTCTCTTCTAGAGTTTAGTATTTCTTGTTCTATATAATTACAACGTGTTGAAAGCCGAAGTTTACAATAAACTGGCCTAGGGGAATACGGTCAATCATTAAGCGGTGTTGATGAACAGCCAATCAAATTAGCCGTATAGTAAAAAAACAAGCCATTATTGGAATAGATATTTCGCTTTAGATTTGATTGTGTAAAGTGTTATACCGACTGAGAGATGGTTAGGATATGTGTGTGTTACGCATACTTGACCTAGCCTAGTCATCATCTTCCTCAGCAATGTTAGCTGATTGACATAGGACGGATCAGGTTGTAAAAGAGCTAGCACGTGGTGGTCAAACCAAAGCGGCAGCTCCATTAGTCAGTGGTATCCACAACAGTCAATTTAAGCCAGCCAGTCAACCAACCACGTAGGGAGATGTAGACTGGCTTCCTGTTTGGGGTCCTCGAGACGGTAAACATCAATGAAGGCTGGAGACAATTCGTGATATGGTTGAAAATTGTTGTCAATGTTTGGTGGAGAATGCATTCACTCTTTGTGATATGTCATATTCAATGAATCTCTATTGTTCTCCCATATTACTACTATTCTTTTTGTCTCACGCAAACTACTGTTTATTACCTCTCTCTCTCTCTTTACTCACTTCTGTTGCTTTGTGTGCTACATGGAGAGAGTGTGTCAACTTGAACTGGTGCACCACACATCTGTGCAAAGTTCTTTGTTGAAATCAGTCAGTCATTTGGTTGGTGTTTTCTGAGCTGGACAGTTTAACTGCTACCAAAAGGCCTTCAATCATTGTCATTCCAATACCAATATTTCTTCACTACAGACTTCAAATATAATGTAGGTTGTGATGAAGGATACAATTGTCTCTAAATATCTCCATTATTAATATTAGAACAAGAAATATAAAAGTGGACAATATTGTTCTTTTCAATTAGATCTTCTTCAGACTTTAATCTAATTTACATAGATTTATATATATGCAGAAAGAAATTAACCAATGACGGTGAGTTTGTGGATCAATGTTCACAAAGATAATGGTAATAGTAATAAGGTTTCTGCAGGTGGCGATAAGAATAACGAAGGTATTTATATATGCGTGTATATGTAGACAATTCAATAAATAAACAAATTAGGTCAACTCTTAAAAGTTACGTGGAGGTGACACAGATAATCAGAGTTTAAATAATAAATATAAAAGTACGAAGGATATGGAATGGAAAATAAGAAAGGGTGGGCAGGGTTTTGATTAGAATTCACCTAGGCTAGCTAAGCAAGGGAGAGACAAAGGATGGAACAAACTTCTTTTTTTATTTGGTGTGTCCCAGTAGCATATTTATCAATTCTGCCCTGTGACACGGCAGCAGAAATCGCGGTCGTTTTTAATCCGGGCCCCGACCGATCCGACATGATATTTTGTGATTTTGTTTGGGTCATAGCATTGGATTGGGTAACTGCTTTTTGTCTAACCGCTATCCAAACAACCTTTCTGGCATGGTAGGACCTCAAGCGACATAAGTCTCAGCCAGTATAGCTTGTTGGGTCATTGTGGTGTTCAAGCCCGACCACCACGTCAAGGTAGCAGCTTTCGGTCGGGAAGTAATGTTGAGGTTAGGCCTAGAGTGTTGTGCAAATGGGGGAAATCAATCGAAGAGGCTATAAATTTACACAGATTGCGATGGCTAGGTCACGCGCTGCACATGCCTAACCATCGCCTCCCCCGACGGGCATTACTAGCTGATATAGGTGCAGGTTGGAAAAGAGTAAGTGGTGGCCAAACATAGCATCAACCCATGAAATCCTTGACAGTTAAACTGAGTCAGGTAGGGAGATGCAGACTTCCGGGTTGGGGCCCTCGGGACTCTAAGAATCAATGGCTGGAGACAATAGGTGACATGGCTCGAAATCGTGTCAATGCTTACGCAGATGTATTAGTCTCTTGTGTAATCTTTGATATTCTTCACCATTACTCATTCTGTTTCATTTTATACTTGTCAAATCTATTGATTCTCTTCACTTCTTTTCTTCTACCTTTGTGTGGATTTGGACGGCAACTCGAACTGGTGCACTTCGATGCCAAGTTCTATGTTGAATCCAGACAGACAGACAACAGCAAACTTTGTTGTATTCAAAGACACTAGATGTCTTTGAATTAATTCCATACAGCTTCAGCTATATGTGAAAGCGATCGAATTCCGTTCTAGAGGTTCGATGAATGCGACAGATCACTTTTAAGGCACTACTTCTTCGTCCACTTGTTGGTACCCTTCTCATCAAATGATCAAATAGTACTTCTATAGATTTTTCTTAGCCTTTCCGAATTATGGAGAAGATGCTCAGTAATGGTGCATTGTGAGCTGTCTATTGTTCACCATATATGTCAACTTCTCTGCAAACAACTAAATTTTAATACACATAGAAGTGGTACAGTTCGCTGTCATTAGTAGTCTTGTAATTAGAGTAAAGTCTGAAGAAGATCTAACTGAAACAATATGTTCGCTTATATGTCTTGTTCTATGTAGCTATTTGTCTAATTCAGTTTTTAGACCTCACTGTAGAAGACTTCAGCAAGATATCAATTCTTGGTTATGAAACTCAAAACTAAGAGAACTGCTTTCCAAGTCCTAACGTCTAAAGCTCTAAATTCAGGTTGAATGCCGTTCAAAGTTCAATGGAATGTGGCCGATCACTTTGAAGCACTACTTCTCTGTCCACTTGGTGACCGGTATATTATTATTATATCATTGTTCTTAATTCTGGGAACATAGGCTTCAGCGTGCGTCTCCATTGCGTTCGTCTCTACTAGAGTTTCCCTGGCTCCAAGTCTGCCACATGCTATCTCCTCTTCATATGCCTCTCCAATCACCTTGCACTGACGACAACTCGCGCTTCCTTTGGTCCACTGGAGCGATGGCTTGTCTAGTGATGTCACTTGATGGTTTCCTCAATATGGCAATCCACCTCCATTCTTCCTGCATATTTGTTTCACATCGTTCCTGATTGGTTGGTTCGCTTCCAGAGATCCATCCTGTTGCTGATTTTCTGGTAATCTGATCTTGAGTAGACGAAGACAACTGTTAATGAGGTCTATATTGTTTGAGATCTTTATGACGCGCCAAGTCTCTGATCCGTATTATCATCAAACAGGCGAAAATAGAACTTCTTATAGATCTAGTATGCTAGTATGGTACATTTTGAACTGTCTAATTATTCGCTCTATATAGTTTCTCTCAGGAGCGGCTAAATTTGTAAATCCACATAGAAATGGCACAGGCATAGGCAGCTTGTCTTTCGCTTGAGCAGTATTGTTCGCTTATATATCTTGTCGTAATATTAACACTTGTCCCTCTTAACGACTTCGGCTGGTTTGTGATTGGTCATTAATTTGTATGAGTCGTTTTTATTGACTAGGAATGTGACTCTTGTTCGTCATACAACTTACTCTTTTATCAGTCGATAAACTTGATCTGTAATAATAATAATGTGTCTGTTGATCTTAGATTCATATGGAATACTAGGCTTCCAGGAATCTCCTGGTATTACTTTTGATGTTTGTGTTCCTCGACGGCAAATGTTAGCTGACATAGGATAGATCAAGTTGGAAAAAAGTTAGTGGTGGTCAAACGAAAACATGGTTTCATCAGTCAATGACATGCATAACAGTTAGTTTAAACCAGCCAAGCAGCCAGCTACGTAGGGAGGTGTAAGCTTTCTGACTGGTTGGGGTCCTCGAGATGGTAAGGAGCAATGCCGGCTGGATACATTTGGTGATATGGCTGAAAATCGTGCTCAATGTCTGGCGCAGATGCATTCACTCTTTATGATTTATCATATCCAATAAAACTCTATAGTTCTCTCATATTACTACTATTCTTTTTGTCTCGCTCAAACTACTGTTTATTACCTCTCTCTCTTTTGAAACTCTCTTTACTCTTTTCTGTTGGTTTGTGTGGTAAATGGAGGTAGAGTGGCAAGTTGAACTGGTGAACACATCTATGCAAAATTCTATGTTGAAACCAGTCACTCGATCAGTTAGTCTACTGTGTGAAATTTCTATATTGCCCCAGTCAAATTGGTGTCCGTTG